ACAGCCACAACGACAACGACAACGACAACCACAACGACAACGACAACGACCACCACAACAACAACTACAACCACCACAACCGCCACCACCACCACCACCACCACCACAGCCACAACCACCACCACAACCGCCACCACCACCACCACCACCACAGCCACAACCACCACCACAACCGCCGGCACCTCCACGACCACCACGGAGAGTAGCAGCGCTGAGACCGAGACCACCAGTGACATTGACATAGAAACCACAGAGGGAGGGGGAGAAGATGATGCTGCAGTGCCTGCCACTGCTTGCGGCTTGGTCCTTGCCTTGGCTTTGGTGATGTAAGAGACATTTCTCGAACTCATCGCCAGACAGGAGCAACAGCCTGGCCTTTTGGGTTGGAGCCAAGTTTTCCAGGACCCTTTTTACGTCGCTACTGAGGCACTACAATACTTAAGTTTGCCCGTAGTGATGACTGAGGACACACTCACAGAGCTTGAGACAATCTCAGACAAACAAGATGTTCAATATGTTTCATAGCACTGAGGAGTGCAGTCTGGAATTGCTTCTTTTGCAGGCTCTGTGACTCTGTGAGTCTATTTTCCTTTTATCATAGACTTAAACTTCTATGAATGCATTTAGCTTAGGCTTAAGATTATGAACCTTTGCGAAAGGAAAACTGCAGCTGGGGAAAGTTTGGCGAACGGTTTGAAGAAAGGTCTTTTTTGGGAGAGGTCGCGGTGCTTCCATTGCTTTTATACATTCGTCACCTTAGGAGAAGACCTTCAAAGAAGGTTGTGAAGTAGCTTTGATGTAGCTGGTGAAAAGGCATTCCACTAGATCAAGGCCCCCTGCCGAAGAATAAGTCAGATTGGATACTTGCCCTTTTGCGGCGATTACAAACATTGATTTGCTCCATTTGTCCTGTGCCTTGAACACATAATGGAACACCGGGTAATTCAAAATTTGATGCGCAGAATTTGCAATCATGTTCGTGAATGTGCATGAACAAAACCCTTGGAGATGTCAAACATACTACAGTAATTATACAAATTGCCTATTTTCTTGATTAGCTTTCCAGCTTCAAGGGTGGGTGTAAAATATGAGGAAATGGATGGAAAAGGGACCATGTGTGTCACACAAAACGACCTTGGCACCTCCGTGCAGGAAGGAAAGCGCATGTGCCGAGTGGTGTGGCTTGATCACCATGATCTGCAAAGCCTTGACAGCAGCGAGCTGCAAGGTTGGCAATTCGTCGTGGATAGATGTTGGGCCACCAGCTTTTGCAGCTGTTCATTTTTTGGACACTGAAACTAATAGCAAACATTGTTACTACTAGTAAGGCACTTGTTACTACTAGTAAGGCACTTGTTACTAGTAGCGATGCACTGAAGGCTGCGGAAGTTGCGGTCACTTTCTGACAGTTCCGCCACGTGGGTGAAGCCCGAACTCTGACCATTGCTCCGCTGGTCCGAGAGGCGCCGACTACGTCTTCACCGATTCCCGCTCCTATGCGCCCTTTCGTGGCCGCAATGGGGCAGTGCCCTGGACTCCCGACAGGCTTCAGTGACTGCAAACATTGAGCATGGCTTAGAAATAGGAACCCAGGGATGGGGGAGGCGGCATAGGTGCAGCTGAAGTTGATGCTCCAGGGGAGCTCCCGTTCTTGACCATTCGCAAAATATCCGCGAACTGAACAACTACTAGCTAGGGAGCTAGGCCAAAGGGTGGAATGGATGTAGCTGTAGCTACAGTAGATGTTGACTCCGATTTGAGCAAACTTGATGGATCATGTTTCTAATGTGAGGTCCTCTTCTTGGAAAACATCTCCGAGTTCAAAGTCCCTAAGGACTGCTGCTTTGTGATCAATTTTCACAACAAGTTCTTATTTTTTGTAGCGTCCAACCACTGACCGAATTCTAGACTAGAAAGACAAGTGCTTTGAGGCATTTCTTCACAAAGCCATCTAGGCTAGGTGATTGTAAGTTGCGTACATGCATGGTGATTTAATGTGATTTACACCCCTTCATTTCGCTCGGACTTTTTCGGATTTTCGGCGAATCGTGCCCTTGGTGACAGGACCTCGATGGCATTATGGAGGCAAAGACTCAGCTGCTGTCAGTGCTGATGCCTTCCAAAGAGAAGCGCCCTGTCGATCTTCGGGATCGTAAGAAGCGTCGGGTGATTCGGTGGTATACGGTGTTTTCTACAAGGTCGATGAGAAGGTCCATGGATGTTCATGGTTCCGTCAGATGTTGCGTGGACTCCCGGCATTATTGCGTGGACTTCCAGGTTCCGTGGAGATGTGAAGAGATGTTCTCCGGCCCCCCTGTGAACGTCATGTGGCTGCGGAGTTCTGCTATGTTCGGCTTGAGACAGTGCTCGAAGTGATGCGTTGCAATGATGAAAAAGGACGGGGACATACTGTACCCCCGCTTGGTTCAATTCAAGCCTTCTCAAGCCTTCTCAGACTGTGGATTCCCTCCAAATCCTTGAACTATATAGATCAGAGTTCAGCTTTTGGCCTTTTAAGCATGTACTGACTGTATTTGTGCGATGTTTACCCACCTCTTCCTGGTCCAAGCTGTCAACCACAAAGCCAGCCACCGGCCTGTTTGTTTGTCAGTGCCGGGTGAATGTTCGGTCGATTCATGGGGGAAGAAGCTGCAGCTATTGTTGGGCTGCTTCCACTCAATGGGCTCAACTCATCCCCAAAGGCCCAATGCAAACAGACAGCGCAAGTCTGGTCGAGGTGGGACGATCTGGCGCAGGAGATCTACAGCCAGGCCACAAACTGTTCTTTTAGACGGCGTTCTGGTTCTTTTCAATGAAACGCAGGGTGCAACTAAGCCATGTTGGCAGCAGCACCGGTCAAGATAAGTTTTGTTTGCTTTGATGATGCATTTTAACTTTCTATTCGTTCGATGTGTGTAACCTGACCACAATCAGCCTGCTACGAACTTGGAAGGGCCAGACATGCAAGCGATATTTGCACAGGTGTTTGTCACAACCACTTCTCGCAAGTGACAGAACATTTCAGTCATGTCTTCTGGTTGAGATTTAATTGATGCTGAATAAAGACCCCCCCATTAAGGTTATCTTGCGAGACTCTGGGACTGAAGCAACTGTATGGATTGATGGACCCTTGACTTCAAGTCAAGGCCCTTGTTGGCCCTTGACCCACCGTTTTTTCGGAGGCGAGGATTTTCTTCTCAGGAGTTGTGTCTTTGGGGCATGACGTCCGAAACCCGTGCCCCGCGCGTTTCGGCGGGTTGACCGGAAGGCCATGCAGCTCTTGCCGGAGCACGTCTACGTGGAGGACGGCAATGAGGAGACGCTGGTGTCGGCCTTCGAGCGATATCGCTTTTGTCACTGGGATGGCAAGGAAGGGAGGTGGGAGAGATGGCTTTATCGATCCAAATCAAGCTCAAAAAGGACATATTGTTTGGTACATCGATCTGCTGCTTTAGCATAAACATGTCTCGCAAAGCGCCGGCGTGTTCGAAGAACAGCTGGATGCTGAAACGAGAGGGAAACGGCATGTTCACGTCTTTTGCGCTGCAGGCTTGATTCCGGAAGAGGATTCCTCAAGACACTCCATTTCGCCACTCTTCGTTCGCCTCCTGGATGCAACTTCCTGTGCGCGAGGTGTGGACCCGAACATTAGTGGCTTTGGCCAGTGTGGAGGTCCGCCCCTCATCAAGACCAACCCTTGACCTCCTTGTACAGCTTTGAGCGGGGAAACGAGCAAGTGAAGCTGAGTCTAGGACCCCTAAGAACTTGGTCTTCAAAGGGTACCCAGCCATGGGCACTTGGCACCATGGAAGTGGATCTTCCCAGGTTTGGTTCTGTGGCAGTTGACACTCACCACTGCCAAGGGGCCGACTTTTGCATATGCGTCGCACGAGCGCTTCGGAACGAGACTCAGGTAGCTTGGCGTGGGCACCTTAATCTTTGCATTTCTCTCAGCCTTTGGAGAGAGCGAAGAGGGAGGACATGGCCTGTAGTGCAAGAACCAACGCCATTTCAGTGGAGGCCATCGCTACTGGGTTGGAGGCCATCCCTAGTAGGTTGGAGGCCATTCCTTGTAACTGTAACAACCAAAGCCATTTCAGCATCGCATTGATGTGACAGCCTCACAACGGAGCTCAATGAGGTACCACACCATTGCCGTCTTCAACGGCTTTGTTGAAGTGGGGCCTCCTGGCAGCACGAGTACACAGGGGTACCAGGCCTGTCAAACATGTTTCGTTGTCAGCCCCTCGAGCGGATCTTGATCGAAGAAGTTCTTCAGATTCATGGTATATCAAAAACCCGTGGTGTTTCTCCATTTGGACTTAAAGAATTGACGTGTGACAGCCGTGACGGTGCTTCTCTCTCACCCAAAAATGCATGCAGAGGTCCATGGTCTTCAATGCCATTGCAGACTTCGACTCTGACAACTTCAACCTGGTCGAGACGCCACCCGGCCCCTTAAGACCGGCCTTCTCGGCGCCGTCGATCGGGCGAAGCGACGGTCTGGCTGTGGAGGGGTTTGATATGGTTTGATGAGCTGGTCCACTGTTGGGAGAAGCCAAAGGATCCTCACATTGAGCTTGGAAGTGGGACATGAAGTCGAGTGTATTTTTGCCGCTGTTTGGGTTCTAGTCTACAAGGTTGCAGCAACCTGTTTGGTCAACAGAGGGGTGATCAACGCGAAGCTGTGATGACAAGGATATTGGCCTTTCGTTTGGATTGCGGAACACTTTTTCATATGCTGAGCCAAATTTAAGTTTAAAAGATTTACCAATTGGTTGACCCTCCAAGAAAGAGCCCATTCCCCGGTTGTAGCCATGTGGATCGTTCCAGGAAGGCCTCAAGCAGAGTCGTTGACTGAGCCGTTGACTGAGCTCGTCGGGTGACTCGTTCCAGTTGAAGTGCCGCGAAGCTCAGGATCGAGACCTTAAATCGGCCGCTTGCTCGCAAGCTGTACTCGAAAAATGGTGCATTTTCTGGTGGACAAGCTCTGTGAGGCTGTCACTATGGCACTGTTTGTGAAAGCGTGAGGCTTTCTAGGTGTGAGGGACCGTAGTTTCAGACCCCTGTGCCCAGGCATAACAAGCACATTGGTGCACTGTGGCACTACCAGCGCATCATTCAAGACCAGGTGGATGGGGGTCGGTGGAGGGAGAGAGGGCTTGTGCTCTTCATGCCCTAGCTTCTTCATACCTGGTTCCCTGGTCATTGGAAATGCTGAGAAATCAAGAGCCATCCAACTGTGGATATTCCCTAAACAACAATGGAGCTAAGTCAAAAGCAGAACAGAAAGAACAAATAAGAGACCAATGAAGAGAAAATGGCTACAGACTCGGAGGAAAAAACGGCCTTTGCTTCAACTCTTCTGTCACGATTGCATTAAACTGCGTCGCTATTCGCTAGCCCTTCATGCATCTAAAACGAATCATCGCTTCATCGCTTCAGCGGAGGTTCTGTACAGATGCTTGGATGCAATTCGTGGCCAGGAGCTTTAGTGAATGTATTGATGTGGGATCGTCGTAAGGTATTGATGTTTGCAATACCTAACGGACCTCAGGGGATTCTCAGAGAACGTCGTCCATAGGTTGCTTGGTTCATCCACACCCATCATACAGGACCTCATGAGCTCGGACCGAGGATACAACCGACCCTTTGAGGAGAAGCTCTTCAGCCAGGCATGCACCATGTGCAGGCAGGATGGATGTTGATGCTGAAGAGTGATAGTGATATGGGATATGAAATTCTATATGAAGAGTGCAGCCCAAGCACCGGAGATCCATTTGCAAAAAAATCCACAAGATTCCGCTTCTCGGGTCTTGTCCTTCCTTTCACCAATCATTTCTTTGGACAAAGAGATACCCTCCCAGTTCCAATGTGTGTTGACCAGGCTCATTGCGGATCCTGTGAAGACCCCGTGACTTGGATCGACTTGGAGCATGTAGCGGTCCGGTGGTGTTGCACGCTCATGATGGACGTGAGAGAGAATGTGCTTGACATCCTTGCTGGGGTTTACCAGCCTCAGACCCAACCCTTTGTTGAAGTGTATGTATATGATGTATATATGTTAAGAGGGAGTCCACTTGAACGACCAGTTTCCGCCTTTTTCAAGATCAAACTTCAAACTTGGATGAGATTCAGACCAGGCTGGTCTTCGTGGGGATCTATTCTGCTCGACGGAACTTTGAGAAGCGATCGGTGGTGCGGGCATCTTTGACCGGAGGGATGCTGTGGGGATTGGCTCCACTCCGGATGTTGATGGGTAGAGTTTTAATCAGTGGATGGACATCATAGTTGTGCAACGGAGTCAAAGCTTCTGAAAGGAAGTACTCAACAGTGGGTGTGGGTAGTTGTGGATGTACTCAGTGGAGCAAAGGAAGCCCCTGAGTCTGGAGTTGGTTTTGTCAAAAGATGGTCAAAGCTTCTGAAAAGGTGGGCTTCAGGCGGAGATCCATGTCAGAACACCGGAGCAAGTCTAGGGCCAACGCATTTTGGGTTGTGTTGGCAGGTGGTTTTTGAGGCTTGGGTGTTGAGCCTTCCATGCTAGATTGAGCACTTCTTGGATTTGGCTGCAGTGGTTGCGAAACGTGGAGAATGTCAAAGATCTCCCGAATCTTTTGCACACCTCCTGCTATGGAGATATGGTGCGTCTCCTAATCGAATCGGTCCATCACCCTGGGCTCATTGAAATCCAAGGCAAAGTTTCCCCTTTGTAAAGGGTCAAAGAGCTGCATGCCATGACTTGCCCGAGCGGTCCAAAGTGAGGAAACCTGGGGCCGGCTGTTGCGGGAGACCTTCCGCCTCCGCTTTCGCTTCTTTCTGGGGGAGTCCAGCGCGGGCGCCAGCAGTGACGAAGCCTGGTATGTGATTTTTCAAACATTCTCCGAGCGGGCAGGGGGTTTGTTCAGCGGCCCATGGATGGTAAGGTTCCCGACATGGAGGTATACCACAAAAAGTCTTACGCTGTCAGGCCAAACTTTTGAACGTCTCGTGGCTTTGGAACTCGTTGGAAGGTTCGACCTGCTGCGGACTTCTTGTCGGAATATCAGACCACGAGACTCGTTTTACACACCATCCAGCGATCCATTCACCACAGGGAGGCTTTGTGGGGGTGCAAGGCGGGAGGCAAGGCGGGTGTCATTTAAGGAAGGTGCAAGGCAAACTGCCTGAAATGAGAGGTGAATAGACTGAATAGACCTGGCGGGTTCTCAACTTGGTCTGGTTTCCCTGGTCAAACCGGAGTTCTTTCTTGGCGGCGGCGCAAGTTCTGTGAAGTGCTCGCAGCCAGGAGCGGCGCATGCGCCGTGAGATGGAGGAGCACAATGACCTGGTCTTCTTGCCTGTCACTGAGGGTTATCGAATGAACAGCCGCAAGGACCCACACGGTCAGTGAGATTTTCTTTGGGTGCAAGGGTATGATATTGACCTTTACACTCCCTTTGTTTCAAATATATATAGATATATATAGTATATAGATAGAATTTGTCACCCTATTTCTAAAGGATTAAAGACTCATTTCATGTTTTTTCCGGTCCACTCTTTGCAGCTTTTTTCCTCAAACAGTTTACTGTTAGGGGTTCTCAATTCTTTGTTAAGATGTGTCCGCCCTTTGTGTCACTGCTGGTGTCCGCCCTTTTCCGCTGGCCATGTGGCATTTCTATTCACTTGTCTCCCAGGTCTGTCACTGGTGGTGTCCGCCCTTTTCCGCTGGCCATGCAGCGTTTCTATTCATTTGTCTCCCAGGTCTGTCACCTTTTCCGCTGGCCATGTAGCATTTCTATGCATGTGTCTCCCAGTCTGTCGCTGCTGGTGTCCGCCCTTTTCCGCTGGCCATGTAGCATTTCTATTCATTTGTCTCCCAGGTCTGCCCTGCTGGGGTACACGGCTCATTTTGGAACCTAGAAACGGCTCATTTTGGAACCCAGACGAAAAGAAAACTCTCCGGGACTGCAGCGTGAGACCAATTTCGCGGCTCATTTTGGAACACGCATCATTCGGTAGTGCTTCGAAGGTAGCATTTGCTAGTGAAAATGAGTGTTTCGTACGAGACTTCCTCCAAAAGTGAGCCGCGGAAGTCTCCAGAACGAGCGTATCGTACGAGACTTCCTCCAAAAGTGAGCCGCGGAAGTCTCCAGAACGAGCGTATCGTACGAGACTTCCTCCAAAAGTGAGCCGCGGAAGTCTCCAGAACGAGCGTTTTGTGCGAGACTTCCTTCAAAAGTGAGCCGCGGAAGTCTCCAGAACGAGCGTTTTGTACGAGACTTCCTTCAAAAGTGAGCCGCGCAAGTCTAGAGAGAGAGAGAGAGAGAGAGACAGAGAGAGAGAGAGAGAGCGCGTTTCGCACGAGACTTCTTTCCAAGGGGAGCTGCGGAAGTCTCCAGAACGAGCGTATCGTACGAGACATGCTCTAAAAGTGAGCCGCGGAAGTCTCCAGAACGAGCGTTTTGTGCCAGACTTCCTTCAAAAGTGACCCGCGGAAGTCTCCAGAACGAGCGCTTTGTGCGAGACGTCTTTCAAAAGTGAGCCGCGGAAGTCTCCAGAACGAGCGTTTTGTACGAGACTTCCTTCAAAAGTGAGCCGCGGAAGTCTCCAGAACGAGCGTTTTGTACCACGCATTATCATATGACACGCACGATCCTCGCAGATTGTCTCCCTTCTGTTTCTTTTTGTCTCCCTTGTTGTCTCCCTTCTTGTTGATCATTGTGTCTGTCTTGTCTCCCTTCTGTTATCTTTTGTCTCCTTTTTGTCTCCCTCTTGTTGGTCATTGTGTCCGCCTCGTCCCTTCTGTCTCCCTTTGTCTCCGGTCTTGTCTCCCTTCTGTTTCCTTTTGTCTCCCTCCTTGTTGTCCGTGTTGTCTTCTTTCTGTTTCTTTTTGTCTCTGGTCTTGTCCCCCTTGTTGTTGGTCACTGTGTCCTTCTGGTTGCTTTTGTGTCCCTTCTTGTTGGTCATTGTGTCCGCCTTGTCTCCCTTCTTGTCTCCCTTCTGTTTCCTTTTTTCTCCCTTCTTGTCTCCCTTCTTGTTGGTCATTGTGTCCGCCTTGTCTCCCTTCTGTCTCCATTTGTCTCCAGTCTTGTCTCCCTTCTTGTTGGGCACTGTGTCCGTCTTGTCTCCCTTGTGTTTCCTTTTGTCTCCCTTCTTGTCTCCCTTGTTGTCCCCTTCTTGTTGGTCATGTGTCCTCGCAAGCCTTTGCATTTGTCTCCCAGCTCTAGACTGCTGTATCCGCCTCTGCCTTGCAATCCTTTATTTGTCACCCAGCTCTGGGCTGCATGTCGCTTGCAATCCTTTACATTTGTCTCCCTCTGAAAACACAAACTGTTTGGGGTCTACGGTGGTGTAATTCTATTTTTATTTTTTTCCGCAGTTTGGTGATGGACTGGATGCTGGGGAGAAGAGTTCTGGAACATTGTGGAAAGTTTGGAAAACCGGATGATCCAGAATGCAAGTCTGTTTGGAGAGTCCTTGGACCTACTCTAAAAGATGCCCTCCAAATATAATCCCTCGAGCTGTTGTTTTATTTTAGTTTCTTTTTTTGCAGTTCGAAGTTTGCTCAAGTTCCCAGATGGAATTTCCTGGAATGTCAACTGGGATGTCGCTTGCAGGGCCTGCTCTTCTTAGAATGGATCGCAGCGCGAGCGGAAGCAGAGTTTCTCTTGAAGACCGATGACGACGACTCTGGGCTTAAGGCTAGAGCCGCGGTTCGCATACCAATATCCAGTCCAACATAGTCCAACTAAAGAGGAGAACCTCTTAGAATGATACGAACCTTCTGTTACCTGCCAGGTATTCAGGGGTTGCTGGATCCTCTTTTTAGTTGGAAAGTGAACCTGAAGCAGATGACGTTTGCCGGAAAACCACAATGCTGGGCGTCTGGACGAGGCCTCAAAACATGAACAACAAGCGTTGGCAAGTCCAATCAAATCCGCACCCCGCCGGAATCCTATGAATCAATTACACCGCCGTAGACCCCAAACAGTTAAACTAGAGCTTGCGACGTCCAGAGCTGGGAGACAAATGTAAAGGATTGCAAGGCAGAGACGGACACAGCAGTACAGAGCAGGCGGACACATCTTAAGAAAGAATTGAGAAGCCCTAACAGTAAACCTTTTCGGGAATTATTCTTCAAGTGCGAACATGATGCTGGTCATGCTGCTCAATCAGCGGGCAGCTGGCCACGTGAGGACAAGAAAAAAAACATGAGGAGCGAAGGATGTGACATGAAATTGATTTTTGGTGCCTGACGTATGCCCTCCGTCCCAACTGAACAGAGAGATCGCTGCCACGCCGCCGAAATCCAACCCGGTCATTCATCCAACGCTTGCCCGAAAAGGAAAACAAGCTGAGAGAGTTACACAGTGTGGCAGCAATGCAATCCCGGAGACAGTCACTCACCCCTTTCAAAGGAGCAAGAACCTTTCACACGCGAGCCTGTTCCAGCGGACAGGGCAGAAAACAGCAGTGCAGGCACCAAACCTGAAAGACAAAAAGAAAGAAGTCACATGGGAGATAAATGAATAGAAATGCTACATGGCCAGCGGAAAAGGGCGGCAGCACCAGTGACAGACCCGGGAAACAAATGAATAGAAATGCTGCATGGCCAGCGGAAAAGGGCGGACGCAGTGACAGACCTGGAAAACAAATGAATAGAAATGTTGCATCGCCAGCGGAAAAAGGGCGGACACCAGCAGTGACAGACCTGGGAGACAAATGAATGGAAATGCTACATGGCCAACGGAAAAGGGCGGACAGCAGCAGTAATGGACCTGGGAAACAAATGAATGCTACATGGCACCAGCAGTGACGGACATGGCAGACAAATGAATAGAAATGCTTCATGGCCAATACACAAGGACACACCAGTGACAGACCTGCAAGACAAAAGAATAGAAATGCTAGGGCGGACACCAGCAGTGACGGACCTGGGACATGAATAGAAATGCTGCATGGCCAGCAGAAAAGGGCAGAAATTAGCAGTGACAGATATAGGAGACAAGAGACGCGGGAGACAAATAAAAGGAAATGGGAAACAAATGCAAGGAAGTGGGAGACAAGCCAGCCCAGAACCGGACCACAAGCACCCAGCCTGGGAAACAAATGAAAAGAAGTGGGAGACACATTCAAGGAAGTGGGAGACAAGCGGGCCGGGAACCCGAGCACAAGCATTGAGAATGAAAGGAAGTGGGAGACAAGCCAGCCGGGAACCCGACCACAAGCAGATCAGAAGCAAGCACCCTGGGGGACAAATGAAAAGAAGTGGGAGACAAGCCAGCCGGGAACCCCACCACACCCAGCCTGAGAGACAAATGAAAAGGAGTGGGAGACAAATGAACCCGACCACAAGCGCCCAGCCTGGGAGACAAATGAAAAGAACTGGGAGACAAATGAAAAGAAGTGGGAGACAAGCCAGGCGGGAACCCGACCACAAGCACCCAGCTTGGGAGACAAATGAAAGGAAGTGGGAGACAAGCCAGCCGGGAACCCGACCAGAAGCACCCAGCCTGGGTGGAAAGAACTGGGAAAAGAAGTGGGAGACAAGCCGGCCGGGAACCCGACCACAAGCACCCAGCCTGGGAGACAAATGAAAAGAACTGGGAGACAAAT